CCATTTCCCCCCAATGGGGGAATCTGGGCAGCTCACAACACATTAAAACAATAAATAAATATACAATTAAAACCTATAACAATACACATTCACAAAAATAAAGGGGAAAAAATCCAGGAGGCCGATGGTTCAAGGCAGCAATGCCAGGCCACTAAGGGACAAGCCAACTTCACAGTTGATGATCCCCCTCCTCACCCCAGGCCAGATGGCAGAGCCAGGTCTTCAGATCCCTCCGAAAGGCCAGGAGAGAGGGAGATAATTTCTTTAGTTTGTATTAGTCTTTTATCCATGTATTTGAAAACTCTAATAAAAATTATTATAAAAAAAATAAAATGGAGCAAACATTAAATATGACAAATAGTTGTGACGATTGGGAGAAGTGCCCTTGGTTTGCCACTGTTTAGTAATGCTCATCTAGGTGTCAAAGTAGACACTGCAAGAATCATCCCAGGAACAGCAGTGCAATCATGACAAAGATGACTGTTATAAAAAAAAGGGGGATACTTCTACTCACCATTGTGCAATCCAAAAGTAATAAATGTCTTTCTTTTGGGTCAGCCAAAATCAAAGGAAAACAACATTTCATATGTCTTGTAAGATTGTGGCATTCCTCTGATTCCAATCAAGGAACAGAAAAAGCTGTCTTCTTTCTGTTCAGAATGGCATCATTATCTGGGCTTACAACATATGTCTGTATTTTCTTATATCTTTATATTTCAGCCTTCCCTAACTTGATTGTCTTCAGAGATTTTGGAACAAAAAAATTCCAGAACTCCTTGACAGCCTAATTCTGGGAATGACATACTGTCATTCTAGAACAATAATCTCCAGCACAGATTTTTTTTTTTTGAGTTTTCATCGCATATGCTTAACGAAGGGAGGGAGTCTGTATGGACACACATAACACAAAGTTAAACTATTTTAAAGCACTGATAAGAATAGCAACTTGTCTCTTCACCTCCACTGAGTAACAATCTAAGGCAGGTTCCAGAGAACCTACTACAAATTAAGAACTGATTTGAAAATATTTCAGACTGTAAATATTCAACACAGATAAGGACATCTTTCTTACTATCAGCAGGATGCTTTTTCTCACTGTGAATGCAGAAATCACTTTTTAAAAAAACTGTCAGTGTTTTAAAGGGATCTCAGGTAGGATACAATAGTTAGCTTAACTGGCTTCACAAACCACATAATATATGTGTGGGGGAGCCTTATGAGTTTCAGCATATCACTAAACTTTCTTTTACAATACATTATTCAGTTGTGAGTTGTGTTTCTTTCATTTTAGTAGAATGTTGATTAATTCCTTAGCAATACTAGACATCCTTCGAGTGATTGTCTTACATATTATATGCTATCATAAACAATATCTAATATGAGCCAGCTTTTGGCAAATTGACTGTTGCTCAGAGATCCATTCCAGCTGACCAGCTACTACTTAACTTTAGCCATAGACAGTACCTGTGCTGCTCTGTTGTTTCTCCTCCTCCTCCTCCTTCCTCCTCCACCTCCTCCCCATTCCCCCCTCCTCCTCCCCCAATCCCTTTTTCCTTTTATGTTTTATTTTTGAGATTGTACATTACAGGCAGGTACTGTTTTAACAATTGTCTATACAGTAAAGTGATCTGGGAGCTTTGTTGACTGAACAGTGAGACACCAATGTTTTCAACAGATAAATCTGCCAATTTCTCTTCTCAATTTCCAGAGGATTTTTAAGCCTATTCCTGCTCAACAGTTTGTAATAGACTTCTCAAAGCCTGGGTAAGAGAATGGCAGTTTTCAAAATATTACAGGGCTAGTTCATCTGCACATTCTTCCTACATCAGCAAAGCAAATAGCAATCTCCCCACTACTTCAGGAAGCAATTAGCAAGAAAATCAAAGAATCCCCAGCCTAACAACCATACTGATATATGGGTGCTAAAGTATACACATCCAGTTTCCAAGATTAATGACAAGCCCTAGCAGCCACTCACAACCAAGGCTCAATTTGCACAGGGTCTTATTAAGCAGATTTATTAAAGGGAAAACTGGATTAGGTTATAGAATCATGGAAACTGGATGTGTGGACTTTAACACCTTACTTATCAGTAAGTTCATTAGGGTGGGGTTTCTTTGATCTTCTTGCTGCCTGCCTCTTGAAGGAGTGGAGAGGTTGCTACTTGCTTTGTTGATTCAGGAGCAATGTGCAGATGTTCTGGTCTATAATATTTGGCAAACCACCATGCTTTTTCCCAGACTCTGAGAAGTCTATTGCAATAGTTAGCTTTTATTCCCATTTTGTTCATCAAAGGGCAACACTTACCGATAAAACATAGTGTAGTCCACAGTTGAGTGGCAAATCTGAAAATCCCATGCTTTAAGCTTTTGGCATTCCCGATGAGCACGGAGTTTTACTCTCACAGTTCCTTGGCACAATTCAGGAAACTGTTTCCTTGGAGGACGAGTACAAAATTCATTTGATTCCACACGCCAAGACTCAGCAAAGTCGTCCACGTCAAACTTAAAATGACCATCACCACCAATCAGATCATCTCTCTTGTGCCCATTGTAGTTGCCACACAGACCACAAAGCCGACCCTTAAGATGAGGGGCAGCCATGACTTCAACAAAACTGTCTCCATCCCAAGAGATTTCCAGTCCTAATGAAAAAGGCAAAGAAAGGAAGGGTTTAATAGCATATCACATTGCATGATGTTCTCCTATATATTGAGCCTGATTACTACTCCATCTGGTCTACTGTTAGTTGGTAGGAGTTTTCCCGACCTCTCAGCAGAGATCCTAATACTTGGACTCCTTTGGAAATGCCTATTTAGCATTATACTCCATTTATCAGATACTCCATTTCTGAGCTATGGCCCATGATATATAGTATCTGAGATGAAATGACAAAGTGGAAAGCAGCTGCCCAAAGAAAGCTGTTTCTGGCAGGAAGTTATCAAACACTACCCTCCTGTCAGCCCTCCCAGATAAACCAGATAGGAAACACAGCTAGATGAGTTAATTCCACTTCATTGTAAGGCTACATTAAGGGAATCTTGCAAGTCTGAAAGTACAAATCTCCCCCCCTTCCTATTTACTGCCTGAGTAGTTAGGGCGGGTCCTTCCTAAGTTTCTTTTTCTGGCCATTACTCTGTTGTGGACTCCTTTCTCTTTTATTTGATCATTCCCTAGGTGGCATCTCTCCCCCCCTGCCCTGTCTTCCAAGGTCACCCTCACATTCCATCACATCTCCTCCCATGGTGTTCATCTGCTTGACCTAATGAGTTGCAAGCAGGTCTTCACCTAAAACTGAATCTACTACATGCTGTAACAAACTGATATAGTAGAATGGATTGTCCTATTTCCAGCTAGAAATAACAAGATATCACCTTGGAATTTCTGAAACTAAAACATTAAAAAAGGGCTATTACTTAAAAGCATTCTCAACAGATTAAAACAAATGTACACTGGAATGACATATTCTAATTTAGGATTTGCCTGTGGTGCTGGCTGCCCATTTAAAGACTATTTTTAATATTGGAATGATTCATTATGAAGAGTTAATAATGGGGACTATCTCCTATAGGTGTTTCAAAAGGATTTGGGAAATGATGTGAAAATGATGGTTTTGATTTATTTAAAATAATTTAACACTACCTTTAAGGCAAAAGTTAATAAAATGTAGTTAGTTTAGTTTTAGTTAATGAATTTAGTTAATAAAATACAATTTTATTTAGTTAATTTAGTTAATAAAATACCATACAAAGGTAAAGCTTGATTAGGAAGTGATAAAAAGAACAGAGCTGATCACAACTACCCTTAGGAAGGGATCAAAACACAAGCAGATACACCACATTACTTAAGTTATTAATAATCAGACTATGGCCAAGGAAATCCCAGATCAGTTATGTATCACCAACTCATCCCTAAGCCAAAAAAAGCAAAAACAAAAACCAATCAAAAAGTTCAAATTACTCCTATCTACATTTTAGTAGGGGAACTTAAGCTTCAGAGACACATTAGCTAAAGAGCATGGCATAATAGGTAATCAAGTGAGAACTTCAGCTAACATCACTTTTGACTTATTGAGCTTTCATGGAAAAAATGCACTGCAACATTTATCTCAAACTGGGATAATATTTTATCAAACCAACAACCATTCCCATGTTACCACATACAGTAAGAGAAATCATGTTCATATGGAATCCAGCTTTGCTTTGTACCACTGAGTATTAAATTTGACTTTTCAGGAAGAATAAACCTATATGAACCAACTTGTATGGGTTTATTAATTTATTAAAGAAAAACTCAATTAATTCTTCTAAACCTAAAACTCATATTAAGGGAACAATTCAAAACCAGTTAAATATAGTTTTTTGGATGTTTTGAAATGCTGTGGGTTGGCATGAGGATTATAACTATTTAGAATAAGGGTACTATTGCCCTGGGTTATAACAGCCTTGTTTTCATTATTTCAAATTGCTCTATAAGCCATGTATTTTTATCTGTGCATGTCTAGAAAATTAATTTATTCAAGTGTCTGCCATTCAGAGCTGCAATAAAAGTAGTTATTCCATGGAAGAGGATTTTAAAACACTCCTTAGCAGATGGAGATCATTTGGATCTAACTTTGGTTTCCTCCATTTCTGAATGAATGAGTTCTCCATACTCTTGGATAGAAATCAGGATATAAATAATTGATCAAATTAGAAGCCAGAGTCCAACATCTGTCCCATCTGGAGATGTGCAGAACAAGAGCATTCCTTTGTACAGTTTTCCCAGTATCCTCCTTTTTTGGACAATACTAAATCATTCATGACTTATCTTCTGACTTGGCACAAAATCCAATGTAATGAATTTGGAATGCAGCCCAGATTTATGCACTGGGAGTTCCCAATTCTTCTGCAGTTTCCTTCCAAAAAAACGGCATATACAAATACTTCAAGAAATACTGAGAATCAAAGTCCAGCCTCTTACAAAAATAACAATACTGGTGGATATTGGACCAGTAATTGTACAGTAGCCACAAGAATACAATATCCCAGGCCAGGGCAAAACTGAGGGACATGACTGACAAGTCATTTATAAGTCACTCCTTTCCAGAATTAACTGCTATTTCTGGCTTCTGTTCTTGCAACTCTTAACACAGATAACACGTAATGTTTCATATATAAGGAGGCATGTATAGCAACCCATGATTGCTGTTGAATAGCTTGATGACTGTTAGGTGGTTAAAAGTAATGTTTAAAAAAGTTGAGGATCCTGGTTTAGGATCCTGGTTTTCTTGACTAACACTCATGACTGGCAAAGAACAATGTCACAAAAAAGGAAAGTAACTACAAATCAGCTAGTTCCTATCTCTTACACCAAAAGTAGTGAGCTTGATGCAATGCTGGCTTAATCCTTCTGCCCCCTCCCTACATGCTTAACTATTCCTTATGCTGGAACAGTGGGCTTCACCAATTTACTTTACAAACTTTGACAAAGCTGTGTTGGATATCAAGGGGTGTGCTAGTGTGCACAGGGACAAAGCTGTTTGGAGATATGTAGGTAAATATTAGGTAAGCAAGCTAAAGCCAAAAACACAAGGGAATTCCTGGAAGCTTGATATTCAGACAAGTCAGCCATCAACAGATTTACACACTATTCAAAAGAAACAATAAGAAGGAAATAAAAAGACCAGAACACCTCCTCGCCAGCAATCAACACCTGGATAAGCAGGGATTAACACCAGGATTAACACCAGACAAACAATCAAGCAGTAAACAATACCCTAATCAAGGAACTACAAACTCAGACAATCAAGCAGTAAATGATAGCCTAATCTAGGAACTACCAAGGAAAAAACAACTCCCCCACCAACACTGACAGGGCAAGCTACTGTACATAAACAGAGAGCAAACCCCATTCCCTTCTAGCACTAAAGATGTTACCTAGTCAGGTAATGAAATGTCCACAAGAAAACAACCAAGCTCAGAGAACCCCAAGGACTCCACAGTTCAACCCTAAACTACATAGATTCTCTTCTATTGACATGTAGGTATCTTGTAATATGGCCTTGTCAACTTACTTCCAGATCAGTTTAGCTGCAGAATCTCCCCAAATTATATTTCCCCAAAGATCTACTGCATGAGGAGAAGGCATATGGCAAGGATAGTCCTTAAAGCATAGACTTTTTCATTATATTCTCTCTCCAGGAAATACTATAATATCTAGCATAAATCAGAAATATCAAATGATTGTTGTTGTTTTTTAAACGCACTCTTCCTTCACATTAACAAAGGTGTAGCATTTGCAGGTTTGACTCAGAGATTCAGATTTGTCTTAATTGTGTTAGCACTCTGTTATGTATCTGTATATTACAGATACAGAAACCTTTCATAAATATATAATTTGCTAAATATGTAAATTATTTATATGGCATAGACAGAACATCCTAGATTCACCCTATGGCAAGGACCTTTTTGTGGAATAAGCTGCTATTGTACTTGAGGCTCCTCCCTCCATATTACAGTTAAAAAGGTATCTTTTAGAGATTTCTTATGATGCTGGGGTGGATTCAATTACTTCTGTACTTCTGAAAGCTACTTAGAGCCAGTTAGAAGTGGAGGACATAAACATTTGTAAAATAAATTTAGTACTGTAAATAGTCCTGGATAGCAATTCTAGGTAGAAAATCATGTGCTGGATATACTCTCGGAACTTGACAGATCTGCTGAATATTCAGACAACTTTGAATGGATATATTTTAAATAAGTTTAATAAATAATAATAAAGATCTCTGATTTTCTAAGCAACAGATAAGGAAACCTCTACCGCCATTACAATTCTACCTCTACTTTAATGATACACATTTTCACTGGAAAAAGTTCACGAGAAAGAACCCATTTCATTTGCACAAAATACTATGGGAACCCTAGTATCACCAGTTGAAATGAAGCCAGGAGAATTGAGGAAAAAGGCCAATCTGAGTAGACAAAACATAGCCTAGTGCTGATTCAGAATGGCATTTTCTTCTTATTTTAAGTATTAATAAACGGGGCTTTTATGCTGTTAGGTCTGCACAGAAGATTCTTCTACAATGGTACTATAATCTCATGATGAATTTGAGATGCCATACCTGCTGCCATTCCATTATAAGCATTAAGAGATTTCAGAGTTGTGAGTAGTTCGGGTAACCAATCAATTCATCTTATACAACCTGCTTCAGCATTATGTTAGGTTGCATTAATTTGGGGAGTAAAATTTTTAGTTCATGGGGAAATGATCTGGATATAATACATAACATGTTGCAGTTATACTTTATAGAGTGCACCAGTAGAGGCTATGCTTGCCTCTTCTCTGTTAAACAAAAATTGTTAGCTTTTCTGTAGTTTAATGAGCTGGGAGAAGAGGCAAACGCAGTATACAAAAAATAAATAATCAAAACTGTCAATTGAAACATCCATGATGGTCCTCAAGAATTCAACGGAATTTCATAATTCAGTTGGCAACAAAGAGAGACACTCAATATGTTCTTAATTAGACTCTATGAATAATGTTTCTCTTGTGTGCATTCTACAGACAGCTACAGAATGTTTTGTCTTGTAACTCTGATGAACGAGCCCAGAACTGAATCTTTATTTTGCAGAAGACAAAAGAACAGGTGTATATCTTCTTGGCTCAGTAGGAGATGCTGTTAGCTCTTCAACGCTTCTGAGAGATAATGACTGACCTTCACAATATCTTGTTTAGAGGATAAACTTGATAGACCAGAGATAAGGGTAGACAAAAGTAGGAAGCCTACATTTGAGAATCAGGATCTCTGACCTACATCAAGAAAGTACCATGGGAAGAATTGGAGGGCAAAAGCAACTTTATTCAAGGCAGTGGTCACTGCCCCTTTACTCTTTCCTTGCACTGTTGATTTCCAACTGTTTCTCTACCAAGCATTCCAGATTGACATTTTCTATAACTAATAGCAGTGGAACAATACTGCAGGTAAGGGGGAGAGAGATTATCTTTTTATTTATCATTATGTATTTGTGTGCGTGCATGTGTGTGTGTGTGTATGAGTGTGTATATGTGTGTGTGTTTTTAATTTTCTCAAAACACACACACACGTTTTTATACTCTTCCAGGAGCCTAAAGCTGCTAATAATTATTTTAAAAAATTAAAATCAAAGCATCAATTAAAAATAATAAGAGTATTTATTAGATCAGCAGAAAAGGAAGGTTTATTTCAATCACAGCAAGAGGGAAAATGAACAACTAGTAGTCAGCCTTCCTTAAATGGAGGAGACATGTGTGTGTGTTATTTCAATTTATATCCTGCTTTTCAATCCATAGGGCACTTAGATGAACATTCTAACAGATCTTTGTAAAAGGATGACTGATGATTGTTGATACAGCACATGTAAGGACTGGAGTAGGAGAGATTTTCAGGAAAGGATATTCCCTCAGTGCCAGTGGACAAGGACCTAACTCTCATCTGATGTACTTCAAATCAATGCACTTCATCTGATGAGGGACACAGGATTTCCAGTACCGTTTTGAATGCATGATGGAATGCATGGAAGAGTTTTTAAGGTACCCAAGGTTTTGAGGTTTTAACCAGCAAGGACAGCCCTATACAACACTCATCATAAGAATCTATCCTGCAGATCAAGATAGACTGTATTATGTATCATTTTCTTGCCTTCTATTTTAGTCATATTTTCCTACTGTTGTTTTTTAGATGTTTTAGTTCTTAGTATGAACAGAATATTAACTTTGCTTCCCACATTTAAGGTTGCATAGTCAGCCAGTTTTAATGGTGATGAAAATGAAATTAATCTAAAGTGAAATACCAAACTTTGGGTCTTAGGAAATTCATCATGGTAACTGAGTTCTCCAAATAGTTCTACGATATCCTATCACAATCCAGTTATTTTTAGAGCTGGGAACACAATGTCCTTAAGTAGGACAAAAGGGTTCTTTGAATTTTTGCAGTTCATAAGCAGAATATCTCCTTGAGTCAATAAATTCAGCCTCCTGAACTAGCTCCCAAGGACCTGTATGGCAGGTAGCCACCAGCCCACTACTCCTTAAAATATGTTGTGATACTTAGAATCATAGGGTTCTGGGGGTTTTTTTCACAACATGCATAAATGGGCTGAGGAAAGACACGTCATGCAAACTTCATAAACCAAGTCAATTAATTGCAAGCATATTGTAAAAACAAGAGTGAAAGGGTTTGTGGAGCATTAATCCTACCTTCCAGCTTACAAAAGCAAAATGAACACCATGTAAAAGTACTCTAGGCATTCCATGTCTTTTTTACTTTTCAAATTCCTTTGGCCACACTAGGGAGGGACGGGGAAAGAAGGTAAGAAGAGATGACCTTCTGGGTCTTTTTTCCCACCAGAAAGAGAGAGGGGGACAGACAGATAAAGATAGGAAGTGACAGTTTCTCAGGCTTGTTTGTGCTGGTTGGGAATGACTTCAAGAATGACTGCAATAAGACTAACTGGACCATCTGAACAGAGCCTCTAGTTCAAGCTCCTTCCTCATGAATAAAGAATTGTTCTTTATAATGAGATTTCTGAGCATCTGATGGTTGAGAGGTGGACCCACAAAGTTCATTTCATTTAAAATTGATACCCATAGACCACACTATTAAAAAAACTAATGAAACTTCTATCATCAAGTCTCTTGATCACCAATATAATTTTAAGGATTCAGCAATTTCAGATGCCTGTGCACCATCGTTTCCCTATTCCTTGAATGTAGCTACAATCTGTTATCAATTTCCTGTTAAAACATATTTCATGATGTAAGATAGACTAAATACAAACACAGAACTAAATTATTTCAGCAGAAAAAATAACCCAGAGATGCTACATACCTACTAGCACACTTCAGGGAGTTCAGCAAACAGCTCTTCTTTCACATGTAGGATCTAGGATCACACCCATTTTGGATTCAGCAAAGAACATTCATGCAGATTTCTTTGCCTTATTAATCTGCTAAAGTGTCCTGGATTTACTTTTTTTACTAACTTTATTTGGGTTGGACATGTTTTACTAAATTTTCCCTTGTTCTACAAGCACCTGCAGAATGATGCTTACTTATTCCTGGTCTTTCCTTCCACTATACCGATACCTTATAAAACTAGCATTCAAAAGCTTTTTGGAGAGCCATAAGGCTGTTATGACAACCTTGTTATAAGGACAAAACTCCTACTTGCCAGATCAGAAAAGCTTGTAAGACACTAAATTCTGTGTGTATTTTTCATGTCTGTTATCTGGGTAATCAAACACCCAGCCGCCTTCAAATTCCCAATTTAAATGTATTAAGTCCTGTTGCCAGGTGGAGAAGCATCAAATAGAAATTCTATCCTTTCTTCTAATGCAAATCATGTTTCATTTGACATGAAATGGAAACCTCATGTTTGCAAAAGCTTCCTTGATCTGTTTTACACAAGCCCTGCCTCTAGCAATCTTTTAAAATATGGTCTGATCCACTTTATCAGGGATGCTTGGTGAACAGTTTTTGTCTGATCCAAACAGATTTAGTTTTTTAAAAGAGAGAAAGAAGTTAACCCAGGAAAATACCTCTTCATTCTTCCTGATGTGTACATCAATGTAATAAAATCTTGAAACAAAATACTTTTGGAACTTGAAGTTTCTTTCTTTTCTTTTTTTTAGCTCTGCTTGGCACTGGACCTTAGCCAAGCAGTGAGGAAAGGCATTTATCTGGCTAATCTAATATTCTGCTAATTGTATGTTTTGAATTACAAGTGAACTGATTTTTCTTATAATATACTGCTTATATTTCTTGCATAAATATGTCTAGGTATTTATATGTTTTGCAAATACAGGTAGTCCTTGTTTAGCAACCACAATTAGGACCAGCAACTTAGTCATTAAGCGAGGTGGTCACTAAGTGAAACCATGGCTGTGCTTATGATCTTACTTCCACTTTCTTTTGCTTTGCAGACCTGCAAAGGTTGTAAATACGAGGATTGGTCACAAAGTTACTTTTTCATCACTGTTGTAATTGCAAACAGTCGCTAAACAAGGCAGTCGCTAAACAAGGAATACTTGTACCTATGCTTAAACATTTTGTTATTCTTTATTCTAATACTGGGTGTAGAAGCAGTTGTAGATAAGTAATTTTTTCTATGCGTTTTTAAAATATTAAATATAGAACCAGCTAAGGCTTTAGGCAGTTAATAAAAAAATGATGCTTGGCCCTGGGTGCAATTGTTTTGGTCATAATCAGTCATTATCTCACCCACTCTGCTCAGCCATGGGTTATTCTACTCATAACTTGTGAGAAGTTTTAATAATCAATTAGGAAGCATTATATATGCTTTTGACCTAGGCAGCCTAAATAACTTGGATAATCCATATACTAGGATTCATCTCTAGAGCTTGTGACTTGCTAAGCTAAATTTAGTCAATCAGCCATGTATCTAATCTGGAACTGCTTTACAACTCTGCTGTATTTACATTCCAAGACAAGAATGAAAAACAAAATGAATTCAATTATTTGTGCTCAGCACAAAACAATTTTAATAGATTATGCTGAATTATCTTAGAGACTGACCTCTCCCTTAATTACTTTTGTTTAATTATTTATCAAATTCATAATCTGCATTTTCAGAGCTGCTTACAATAGACAAGTCCCAATTAATTATATTTAAAAACCCGTCAGATACCAAGAATCTTGTCCATCTGATTTGTTTCATCAAGAGCTTAAAGTAAAATGGAGCATTCTAGCTTTTTTTAGCCTGCCTTGGACGTTTTAATTTCACTGGGTTCTTTACTGATTGTTTCTGTTGGATTACTTTTTGATGTTAGCTACTCCGAGTTCTACTTGGTTGTGCTGCCTTCCTCAGCCTGGCCCCTCCAGATATACGTATTGGAATTGAACCTTCCTAAATTACAGGATAATTCTAGGAGCTGGAATCTCACACATCTGTAGGGCCCCAGGTTGCGGAAAAGTGCAGTAATGAAAAGCTAGAATCCCTGTCTTTTTAATAAATAAAAATAAACTCAAATAACCTTATTGCAGAATGTAGAAGCTCAAATTATATTTGTTATATCATTGTGGTGCTATCATGGAGAATTTAGAAGAAGGGCAGGTATTGTAGCCCCACCTGCTTTGGTTGTCACTTTCAACAGATATCCTTCCAAGTCGATGTGAAAATGTGGTGTTTCATAGGGTAGAGAAATGCGAGTCCTATTCCACTTCACTGTGAGATGCTGATGGAGGCTGACAGTGCTGCTACCCAGCACAAGGTCAACAGATTTTGTCCAGGAAAAAGAACGAGTCCTTCGGGCATCATTCTTAACCAGCACCTGGAAGGGCGAGGTAGAGGAGGAGCAGTCTTTTGTCAAAACGTACTGACATGTTCCCTGAAAGTTAAATGTCCGTCCATCAAAAGTGTTGTAGTGGGGGTCTCCAAATACAGTGCAAACTCCAGGCTCTGCAGGGAAGTGAGAAACAAAAGCAGCATCAAGACCAATTTCAAAGTTTGGAAAGGTAGGGATTAGATGCAGGTAAAGGATCTTCCAACATTAAGGGATACTTCGTATCTTATATTTCGAAGGACAGTAGATACCTAAAACAAACAATGTGTGAAGGGCACAAATACCTACCTGGAAACATCAAAGCCATATTGGTACATTCATCTGAAAAGCCATATTAGCTGCAGCTCTTTTTCAAGAGTACACTCAGTGAGAAACATGGATTTACTGCCATGAAACATCTGGAATGGTCCTCATTTGGCATAACTATAGAACCAGACTGGCTTCTGTAGGTAACAAGTATGTATAATCTCTGCGTTGGGGACAGATAAATTATAAGTACAATCCATAAGGTGCATATTTTATTTTAATGTGCAATTTCTATACACAAGAGTATGCCCTAATGAACTCCATAGAACTTATCTCAAAGACTCAAGCAACTGGTTTATTGGAGAACCAAGACATGATCCTGAGATACCTTTTAATATATTAAAGGGCTCTACTAGATTTTTCTCTTCTCCTCTCACCAATGCATAAGAGCTGATCCCACTCCAAAGCCCTACAGTGTGGAAGGGCAGAGGGAACTGTCGTGTGTGTGTGTGTGTGTGTGTGTGTGTGTGTGTAAGGGCAACTGTTTTTTAGTTTAAATGTCATAACTCCATACAATTTAACCTGGCAGTAAGTTTGCTGAGCATAGTGGGATTTACTGTCAAGTAAACATATAGAGGATTTAGTTGTTCTGAAAAAATATTTTCTATTCTTGTTGATTTATTATTCCTCTTAAAGGCTATAGATATATGCCCTGATTTTGGCAGGAGTATCTAAGGACAATAACATCATCACTCCTAGTAATAATGTATTCTTTATATACTGTATACTCATCCTTCCTGCAAGAAGCAAAAGGGAACATATAAAGCTTTTCCCACCAGACTGCGCTCACAATCATCCTATGTGGTGAGTCAAGGTAGGAGATAACGGTTGTTGGAATATTATCCCATGACGGTTATCCTCCCTGGCTAAATGGAGAGCGAAGCTAAAGCTTCCCTATCTCCGTTCTGATGCTACTGTGTACTGCAACACAACACAGAAGCAGTTATAAGATGTTGGCCATGACCCCATCAGAATGCCAAAGTACAAGTCCTAAGCATTTAAATGAGCAAATCATTGCTTATTTTTTAAGAACAGTTGCAGGAAATGTTTGTAATGTGGGAGTCCCCTAACTATAATTTGAGAAGGTGATGGTTTTTGCTGTCCCTTCAGACTTGGAGACCACAACCACAGGGCCTCTTGCTGGAGCCTTCCCTTTTCCCTACCTTTCTCCACAAATTAGCCTTTATTAAAATGCCAGAGTCAACCTCACCAAGAAGTCAGGTGGTAGATCAGACCTTCCTGTGTTATAACATTCCCCTATCCTGCCAGGTCCATGGGGTGGATACTAATCTCCAGCCAGATCACAGTGGCCTGCTTCTTGAGGCCCACATCAAGCAACTCCTAGAATTCCCAGCGACTTTGCCTACAGTTTAACTAACACATCTGGAGAATAGTGATGGGAGAGGGCTGCTACAGATCTATTTGGCCCACAGAAATTTAGGAATGAGGGAAAGTGTTTATTTTATAGGAGAAAATGTGAAAGGCTTGAAGTCTATCTATATCTCTCTGGTCCATCAAATATGCCATGGCAAATCTTGGCAGCTGAATCTAGACTTATCTTGGCAAGCCATCGGGATCACTGTTTAGCTGCAGAAGCACATCATTTCCTGCACCACTACATTTTAAATTATTCCAGACTGGAAAGGACTTAGGCAAGCAGAGAACCTGAGAAGCCTAAACTCAACAGAACTCAACTGCAAAGGCAACAGAACATTTCCACCAAAGTTAACCTTTTTCAAGCCTTGTTGATTTAAATGGGAGTTAATCACTCGCTGAAATGAAATACACCTTTAAATGTTTCTATCCTGCTTTGCTGTCAGAACATCTTCGGAGCATGGATTTCCTATAATTCTACTAAACAGAAATCATTTTCCAGAATAAAACAGGTTCCTCAGGCCTGAAGGCATTCTGTCTCCTTGCCGAATGACAGCATCCTCCATCAAAAATGTTAAGCAGATCATATAGTTGGTTGTCTCCAGACCTGGCAGACCAGGTTTGGTGAACGGATACGTTAAATGACTTAGCCTTTGGAAGGAATTCTGAAGGATTTTTGGACTGTTTTTGTAGTATCTAGTAACCCACACACCATAACAAAGAAGAACAAAATAACTGTCTTCCAATGATGATCATCTCTCAGGTGGGAAGCCCTGGAATTCAATGCTGCTGTCTGTACAAAAAACAGCTGGGAAAGGAAGGGCAAAACACCTGGGCAGTCCAAGTGAATTCCAAAGTGTCCAGATGTAATATGCTCTTGAGGCAGAGCTTGCAAGTTAACTTATAGCAGCCAAGCCAAATATTGTACAACCCATAACTAAGGGGGATTTGGATATTTTATGAGTCAAAATATGACATTACAAGTGGAAAAGAGAGTAGTTTGTTCACACATTCATAACTCAACAGGGTTTGGCTTTAAAAATCAAATCAGTTAGCCAAAATCTGAATTAGGCTTCAACATCCAAGCCAGCAATAACTGATCCTAAAAAGTGACATTCAAAGCTAGTTATATCATACACAGAGCAGAACTGAACTCTACATTTCAGTTTGTAAAGAAGGAAAAGCATACATCAGCACAATTTATTTACATGGTTATTTATTAAATTGATTTTAAAACACCATGCCCAACAGCTTAACTGCATGAATACATCATGCTTTTTTGCATTTTTCACTTCCAGTATCTCTTACCAAAAACTTACAAATTAATAAGTACAACTTCCAGGGTTATGAAAATCCTTCAAAAGACAGGCTTTGCAGCACACTACCTCTCTTCAGATCCTTAAAGCAGCAGTGTGCTTTTCAGGATTTGCGTGCTGCTCCATAAACAGTTTTCTCCTGGTTTTTTCTGCCGGTATGTATGTGAACAGCCACTTTGCTTTGCTGGGAAAAAAATGAGGCAAACTGGCTACTGATGTGCACACATGCAGAGGTTCCTGAAATTAGTTTTTGAGCAGCCATGCAAACCTGCACATGGTTGTTTTTATGCTTCAGAAAGAGATGCTTGATATACACTCCTCTGCATACTTCTGCCCAGCCCTGGAAATTTCTACCACAGGTTACTAAGTCATCATTTTGGAAATGCTTTTTAATTTAAGGCATGTTTTCTTCTATGGCCCTTCAGTCTTGCTGACCTGTGACAGTAAGGAACTGGACAGTTTTATCATTCTTTTCAACATTAACAGTGGGAAAGGTTACCAGTGTCTTCTAAACCATTCTACTCTCTTTAGAAGAGTTCCTCTTACTGTCAGTGTTCTTCGGCAGAGAAACCTTTCCCACAGCTACAAGATGGGTTTGTTCCTAATGAAGCCACTGCACTACACGGTACATTAGTGTTGTACTGTCACTAAAATATATTTACTAATCTTTATTAAAACGAAATGCTGTGGAAAAAAACATCCCTTTTCACTTGATAAAGGTTTCTGTTTATGTAATGTACAAGCACTGAGGAATCACTTTAAGTCAATTATTTTTAGTATAACCAAAATTTAAAACACAGCATTTCTGCAATTGAGTTCAAATATTTTAGAAACTCCAGCACCCTCTTGACTTAATCCCACCATATTTCCATCCATAAATATTTTCATTATAGCTCAAGGAAATGACAAACTGTGTTAAATTATGTGGAAAAATCACACAATGAAGTTTCTTTCATTACCATGTTGGCATTTTGTAATTATTAATCACATTTTAAAATGTTTAAATCTAAGGTACTTAATGGATTAACTGCAACCGAATGAATAGTCATGGTAAATAGATTTAGTAATACTCATTCACTATAACTCAAGCAACTGTCAATCATAAGCTATCCCTAGAATCATGTCCAAAGAATTCTTCTAGTTTGAATGTATATGGGTGTTTCCTTATGACTTTTTCTGTTGTATAACTTCTGTACTCAAGTAGCTTTTTCTTATACCTTATTTTGTTTCCAATAGGTTTTATATTCTACCTCGGAGCTGCCTTATAAATCAATGATGGAGAGACTTAATATTTCACACTAGTTTTCTTTAGAGATACTGTAGTAAATTATTGGCCTTTCCAAAAATGTATATTCACACCTCTGGAAATGAACTGAGATCTCACAAAGTTCCCTAGGAATATTTTGAAGCATCAAAATCCAGTCCAAGAAGACAAGAGTGATTGATTCCAAGCTCCAGACTACTTCTTCAGTGCCTGTATTAGTTGTCAAAAGTCATCTTTTGTGAGAAAGAAGACTGCTTACTAATAATCTACCTAAGATAGCTACATAACTCCAAAATACATGTTCCTTTCTATGCTGAACCTCTCCATAAAATTCAGATGGAATGGGAAGAGAAATTTGCAGCTATTCATGAAAAAGTATGAACATGGGTGTTATCACTGTGTGGTAACCACTGCATATCAAAGTCTCACACAGAACTTCAATTAACATTAAACAGTTTTCAGCCAGGTTGCTTTATAAATGCATCTGTAAATAATTAAGTAATACATATGCACATATGAATTGATTCTGGAAGGCAATTTGTTCATTATTTTAAAATGTTTGTCCATGAATTATAGAAAGTAGTTATTAATTCTTAATTGCCTAACTGCTTATATTTTATACCAGTATGTTTACAAAAAATGCCCCAGAGAAGTGAGAATTAGCACCCAGATACCTTGTTTTATCCTTGCTCATGGCTTCCATTAAATTTAAGTCAGATTTATGCATTAAAATTAACTGTTACATCACTGTGATCTGCAGGAGGAATCTTTATATCAGTGAAAGATGAATGAATGAATGAATGAATGAATGAATGAATGAATGAATGAATGAATGAATGTTTCTGGAAGCTGCATTATACTGAGTCAGTTCATCTGTCACAATATTCAGGGCAGGAGTTTTCCAGATGACAGACATGACTTCTGACACTGAGCTACAAATATTATTCTTTGGCAAGCAGAAGAATAATGTAATTCTTAAATCTATTCTCTCACCTTGATAAAACACAGTAGAAAAAAATCAGTAAAATGTTTTGTAAGGTAGCTACTATCCAGACTGCAAACTGAAAGGTGAGAATGAAAAAGTAGAGACTTGCTTAAGGCTAATCAGTGAATTGTTCTATAGTTAAAACTTCAGACTCATGGCTCATTCTTTAAAAATTAAACAGCTAATACATTTTAATGGATAATATTTGCAATAATAAATTTGGGCTACCCTATCTTGCATTAAGGATATTATTAGTAATAATTTTTATTCTTTTATACAAACAGTAGCAGGACTAGAAATTTCCAATCGTCATCCTAGTTAGCAAATATTATGCTATTATTATTTTCATTGCAAATCTGTATGCATTTTTAAAAATTCTCAAGACATTGAGTATTATTTCAAGACATATTGACATAACTGTAGATTATGTCATGAACGCTCTGTAATGACACTGAACATTTTAAGCTTCTCATTGTAGGATCCACTTTTTTATTAACAAGGAAATGGTTTGGATGCAAGCAATAAATGGCAAAATTATCGAGATTTATGTTGACAAATATAAAATTTGCTCTTCAGCATTTTTCATAAACTCAATCCTACTGCAACTTTATTACACAAAGTGAGAAATAACGCATACTAATTTATCCTTATTTTGCTGACAAGAAGTGTGTTGAGAAAAAAAGTAAATAAATGAACTTACTCACTTTCAGTGCAAATGGGACAGCATCCTTTTCGGTTGAGGATCTTTCCCTAAATGAAACAAGCATGAAGAATATTGTATTGGAAGGGGATGGGATGGGAAAAGCATCTGATACAATATTTTTGATGCACTACAATGTCTCCTAAGTGAAACAAAAAGAAATCACCAGCTTAATACATTTGCGCTGTACTAAAACAAGAACAAAATACGCAATAAAGAGGATGAACAGGGATAGTTTACTACCTACTAGTGGCACATGCCACTATCTTGACCTTCCTGGTGGGGCACTTCAAGGAAGGTCTCAGTTGTTTCTCTTGGAAGGTAGAGAGGGGGACACAAGGGAGAAGCAGACATTTCAGCTACAGTTTCCCAACCCATGAAGGACTTAGACCAGTGTTGTCCAAACTTGGCCACTTTAAGATGAGTGGACTTCAACTCCCCCCATCATCCCCCCCGCCCACCCCCGGGGCGGGGGGGTGGGGGGGGCGGATGACCTCTTCTCACAATGGGCGGAAGAGGGTAGA